TCCCTAAAAAACCCACACCTCATACATCCTTAGGTATTATGGTTGCTATTACACAATTACTGGAACACAAGTGATGTATTTTTCTGTGAGTTTCTTCCTTTTGTGGAAAGAACAGAAACTCAGGCTGTGAGTATGCAGTATCTGACAGTCAAAATCTGTTCAGTATCGGTTAGCTGTCACTGGTCATAAAAATCTGATGAGTACTTTGCTTCCTGATTGAATGAATGAAGGAAGCTCCCAAAGGCTTTGATTCCAGAAAATACTTAAACAAATGCTTATCTTCCTTCCTAGTCCTCAGGTCATCTAAGCATATGCTTAATTTTAAATATGTATGCTAGGGTGCTCTTCCAAAATCAAAGTTACTGAGCTTTGATTGTATCAGAGAGATATCCATTAAAGTCACCACAAAAGCTGAACAGGAATAATGTATTTCATCAAGTTTAAATCTTCCATTTTGGCCTTAGTATCCATGGCAGAAGCTTTATTTTAAGGAAAAAAACAGGTCACAGAATAAATTATTAGCAAGATGAAGAGTTCAAATTAAATTTTATCTTTCAATTCAAATAGAGTAACAGCATGCAAACGACTGCCTCTCACTGTGCATGGGAACTAGAATCACTTTATAGGCTCATTTGACTACCTGTATATCAAGCTTGGCCAACCTTTTAGTGGGGCCTCCTGCCCCATTTCCAGCATACCAAAGCCAACACCAACTGTGGCATAGAGTCTGTAATGTCTGTTGTTGCACCCACAGACACTGATGATTAGAAACAGTATTTCTTCGTTCACAATTATATATCCCTGACTATTGAGAATAGTCCACTGCTTGACATAAAAGGTATGGAACTAGGCCATGCTTCTTAGAAGACACTCAACATGCCATAATTCAGATTGATGCATTACTTGTTGGCAACCAACCTCAAATCATCCCAGCGTATACCAGCGACTCATTGTAATGGGTGCAGTAATTACCTTACCTGGCTCCTTTGATTGCCAACAGAATGACACACTGCATGTATCAAGAGTTCCTGTGACTAAATGCCGATGCTGAACACTGTCGTGAACACTTGTGGACGCTGTGATGGAGCCAAATTAATTTTTAAAATCACAGCGAGCAAATAGAAAAGGCTGCTTAGATGCAGCTCCAACCTTTATTGGGAAGTACGTGAAATCTGTCAAATCTCTCTTGCATGTAGCATTAAAAAGTTGTCTACAGCAATCTTTTTACCATGAGCAAAAGCCTAGTCTTCAGATACACAACTTGCCTTCTCCACCTTGTGCAGGCACATTCCCCTGCAATATTTCTACCAAATCCCTGGGCACAACTCTACCTAAAATGAATAGATGGCATATAGGTTAAGGCAACTTTTACATCTTCTCTTTGTTGGGTAAGATTTTCAATCCTGCATGGGCTTGTGTTGCAACTATACCTACAGCTAGACATCTAATGGGCTATTTGCATGCGCCGTTACCTTTTTTTCCACAGATAATCATGGTAAATCCCAAGGCAAGTTACACAGACACAAAAATACACATGCAATAATATAAAGAATTTCAGAAATCTAGATAGGTTATTTTGCTTTTTCTGAGATAGAAAGTTAAAAACTAGACATAAAGATTTTAAGTATGTGAAATTGTGACAAAAGTAGCTTGATACAATTTAAGGAAAACACAAGTTCACTTTTAACACTCAAAACTCAAATGAGATTTGCTCACCAGAATTAGCCAAAATTTGGTCTCAGATCAGCTGTTCATTTCCCAGATCAACTGATGCTCCTTTGTACAGGAAGCAGACAGCACGGCTGGGAAGCAGAGCCCTCGCTAGTGAGACACGTTCACTTCTCAAGACAATTAACCACCAAAGGAACTAGGTCAGCCATCCTGGTTGGTGGCTTTACTTGATGCCATCTCCCTGACCTGCTGTTATACTTTGGATGTGTTATACACCTGCCAGGCTCCTCGACAGATGATTTTGAAAACTGAAGAAAAAGGTTACTTCCTGCACATCAACAGGTCTTTTCCAGTTTGGTAAGTTTGCCCCTTTCCAGTAACACACCTGCATCTCCGTTCCCTTTGGGTAGGATCTGTAGTCCAACCACTTTCTGGCAGGTCTCTGAACTGCACTGCACTGGGGATGAACCATTTTACTGAGCAGACCCAACTGGGCTTGGCACCCACAAGAATTTTCCTTCGGGAGTCTGTGGACAGCAACAGTGTGAAATAACACAGAAGCCGTTTCTTCAAAACAAAGTATGATTTATTTGCCAAAGCAGGTATGGTACTCCAAGAAATGGATTAAAGAACAGCCAGGAGACCTATGCACATACTGTCTTAACTATACTCAGCATTTCCCTCAAGCACCTATTTTTGCTCTGGCTTGTTTTGGCTGACCCAGTTACAGCCAGCGTGGTGCAGACCCTGACTCTCGGCAAGGCAAGGTCAGCCTGCAGCAATTTCTCTCCTCCCTTCCTGCCCAGTGGATCTTTTAACCTTAAAGTTCATGACTTCGGCAAACAGCTGTGTAATCAGGGGTGGAGTGGAGGAGTTGCCTTTTCACAGATATTAATAGAGCTCAAATGTTTGTTGGGATGTTCCTTATTGAGGCAATTGGTTGCTTTTTACATTTGGTTCCCCTGACAGCCCCGTTTGATCTCCTTCCACTGCAAATAACCCCTCATAAATAAACCCCTCGCAAACAGAGCCACACGTAACTAAGCAATGCAGGATCTTCCCAGTTCCCCACAATATTAGCTGTATAAATGACTTCACCTTCAGAAGCCCTTGTCTCAGAAAACTTTGAGAAGACAACGGAAAATAAACAGATGCAATTACTGAACTGAACTACCTACTCTGTTGTCTAGTTGCTGCAACCAAAATCTTCCAGAAAGCAAAGCCAAAAATGGCTCTCTGCTCATATCTCCAAATTATGACATCATAGATCTTTGACAGAGGAGACAAAACAAAGAAAAGAGTTTGCTTCAACCCTGGCACAAAACCACCTGCCAGTCACAATCTACAGAAAACTCCGTGTTCCTTGGAGACATGTTCTTCAGCTGTAAAGAAAGAAAACCCTGATCTATCAGGGAGGGATCAGAATTCTACTCATTTAATGTAGCAAGATAGAAGAGATACTAATACGCATTGGATAGAAAATCTTTGAGAACTCTGACAACATTTTTACTTTTATCAGTTACCAAGGGCGTGACATCTCAGATGTCAAAGTGATACAATGTCTTTGGCACATACGAGACTTAGTTTGCATATCCAGTATCTAAAAGGGCAGCACAGTAATACGAAAATCATACTTTGTCTTGGACAAAACACTTCTCTCTTATTTTCATGAAAGGCCTATACAGTAAGAGATGTATTCTTCCGTCATTTCAATGTCAAAACTACCCAAAATTAATCTGTCTTGAAAATGAAAGAAGACAGGCACAGTATTTAGCAGAACACATCTAGTATATTCAGCTTACTTTCATGGCCTGCACTGGCTATCCAACTGTTTTGAAATAAGTCCCCTAGGATATGATAAAGATTTATTTTAATGAGTAGAGCTATAGGTCCCCTCAGAGACTTCTGCAAGAGTAATGTAGTTGGAAGAATAAGGAATTTGGAAAGATCTAGAAAACAACTGCATGAAGTATTCTTGAATGTCCAGATCCCGTTTTTTCTGTAAATTGGTGAAGTGGGGAAATAAAGGCCTGATCTAGAGTATTATTTCTTTATAATTTGTAGTCTGAGAATCATAGAATATCTCAAGTTGGAGGGGACCCATAAAGATCATCGAGTCCAACTCCCTACTCCTTGCAGGACTACCTAAACCAAACTATATGACTGATACCGTCATCCAGACGCTTGAACTCTGACGCGCTTGGTGCCCTGACCACTTCCCTGGGGAGGCTCTTCCAGTGACCAACCACCCTCTCAATGAAGAACCTTCTCCTAAATCCAGTCTGAACTTCCCCTGACACAGTTTCATTCCATTGCCTCGTGTCCTGTTGCTGGTCACCAGAGAGAGGAGATCAGCACCTCCCCTTCCACTGCCGCTCTTGAGGAATCTGTAGACTGCGATGAAGTCACGCCTCAGCCTTTTCTTCTCCAAGCTGAACAAACCAAGTGACCTCAGCCACTCCTCATAATGGTATGCATAATATAGATGTAATTTTTCAAATGCAAAATCACTGCACATGCAGATTTCTGTTTGCATGATGATGTAACGTTCCCTAAAACTATGATATGTTTATGCCATTTGTATGATTCTGTGGAATCTCTGGTTTATCAGAAACAAGACTTTTTTGGCTACTTTTCAATGTTAAAATTTGATTGTATTTTTTTATTTATTTTGAAGAGGACAAGTAAGCAAGGTTAAAGCCTATTTACACATTCATGGTTGGCATCAGCTAAATCATGTGTTGGGAAAACTACATCTGCTTTTGTACGTTCCCTAAAGTCCTTGAATCAAAGTCTATTCCTGGTTACTGCAGTGTAATATTGAGATGACTCCACTAAGGCCAATTGGTCTGCTTCTCTTTACCAAGAAATGCAGTGTAACTTGAGGTTAGGAAGAACAATCTTGATCAAAGAGGTAAGTGAAGTTACTCCAAATATCACACCTGGGTAAGGGACCATTTAGCTGTCTGTGCGTTGACTGACCCACAGCTGACGACAGAAGTGAAACACACATCATCCAATTAATGAAGTTCAGGTAGACAATAAAACGACCCCACAGTTTTACTGACAGCTCTCAGCAGGTGCGACCAAGGTGTAAGTGTTAGGAACCAAGGTCTAGGACATGCTACTGAAATTAGAATACTTATTCCTAAATTTGCTTCAGGGTCTCACATCTGACCTTCCTTAGGTTCCCCTTGTCTACAGAACATCCAGTACTATCTCAAATTCACAAGAATGGAAAGAGCATGAAAATGCTTTCTGAAATGATATTCATGCTCTTGATGTTCTCTTTAAAAAAAAAAGTATTGACTATTAATATGGCTGCATATATGCACAGGCATGTTTTAGTCTTAATAGTATGCTTTAATAGCTGTTCAAAGGTTTGACACACTAGCCTGATCTCCAATTCAGTTAAATAAAACAGTGAATGTACCTTCTTCTGCTGGATGAAATAAATGTGTGGCCAGAACAGCTTATAAATGGTTCTTAAAGCACAGCAAGCATAGGTTGTTTCATCCACAATAAAACATAAAGGCACACTTACCTTTTTTAACTTGGCTGCTCCAGCACCAGAGCGAATGGCCTCCATTAGGGCTTGCCTTGCATCCCCAGGGTTACCTGTAGCCATGGCAGAGGATTTAGAAGCTGCTGCTAACAGCTGAGTAGGAGGTGGTGGTGGTGGCTGGGCAGGGGCGGGTGGGATACTGAGTTGCTCTTCCTGAGGGTCTTTTGCCTTCTGCAAGGACAGTTCTGCATTCCTAAAACTCTGCAGCTCTTCAGAGGCCAATGAGGAGATCTGCTCGTGATGCAGTTGAAAGGAGGTGATTAATATCAAGCATGACTAAACTGTAATTATTTGACATTTGATGCACTTTCAGTACCCCGATTTCACTTTGCTTGAATGATGTAAAACACATAGAACTTTTATTTGCTTAGGGGGTTGAACATCTGTTACTACTCACTCACATCACTCAGCTGGGCTGATTACCAGCATCAAGGATTTGGCATTGATTCTGTCTCAGAAACTCAATCTTTATTTACTGTGAGCTCCAGCATCCTGTAACTCTTCTTGGCATGTAAGGTAAGAGAGAGAGTTGGACTCAGGATTCATTTGGAAACAACCACAAGAGTTTTGGAACCACGAAGATATATTAAGGCTGCAGTAGCCACCCAGGAATCTCATTACTTTTTGCAGTCTGGGCTGCACAGAAATAATCTCAGATGACAGGGAGGCTCTTCTAGATCTCAGCTCTCAGACGTGGCTTCATTGAAAAAAATGCTGTCAAACCTAAAGTTTCCAGCCACACTAAAAAAAATAAAATAGGACCAGAGAGAACTACGTGAAAGCACTGGGAACAAAATCAATTGATGGCTCTTCCAAGCATGTTTCTGCAGAATTTCTGAAACTAAATTTCTGCACAAATTACCATCTTGGAAACTCATCCTACTTTAAATGAATGCAGGGGGAAGAGGCAATCTTTTAGTCTAAGCCAGCTTTTCCATCAACTGTCTCAACAAATATTTTTGCCATTAACAACAATATTAGTAATAATCATGATAAAGTATTAGTAATTACAATGATTTGGCAATTATTAGGAAATTCAATATCATGTGCCAAATGGGAGGTTTTCAAGCAGATGCACTAGTATTCCTTTCTCAGAGAAACTGAGGCACAAAACTTCTCTAGTGAAAAATGAAATGATTCATCTCCCATCAAATAATCCACATTCAGAGAGCTCCGATATTCTGTTCCTTCACTGTACACACACACACAATATATAGGAATAATGTCACGTCAGATAAAACACAAACATTTGAGATAACATGAAAGGGACAACCCTTTCATCCCAGCACATCTGTATCTCGCCCTGTACACATATAAATGTGGTGCTTTAACTAGCACAGGTGACAGAGTGGGAAAAAGAAGTGTATGGTTTATAGGCAAATTCCTTTAAATTGATGGCAAAAGCTTCTCTGCTGGAGGAAAGTATTTGAAAAAGTCTCTGTCATAATACACTACCACTTCATTGTCAGAGTCTCTTTTACACAAATTTATTCCCAATGAATGCAGCATGCAGTAAGATATGTGTGAAGATGGCTGCTGCCTAGCATGTCCCGTTCTCAGGCTCAGAGGAAGCTGTACCCTACCTGCAGCAAGGGCTGTACGGTATTTGAGGGACGAAGTAATTCCCTAACACAGGCAAGAGATCCTTCCTAATGCCAGCTATCTGGATATGTGCTAATGGCCTGAGTCATTGCAGGAGGGAAATGGGAACCTCCTTGCCAAATACACATCCTTGGCTGGATTAGTAAACTGAGTGAAAACTAAGGCTAGAACAATGCAGGTTTTGGCTATTAGGAATAAGAGATGCTTTAATGATTAGGTAAATCTTTCAGACAGAAGGAATCATCCTGCTGCAGCGAAAGTTGATGCTCCATCAACATCAATTACTTACATACAATTTGCATGCATCAGGTCATGTTAAGAGATAAACAGCCTGCATGAAGAAGCCCTAGTGTGTTTTCAGGTAACTGGGACTGGATGTATGTGGTAGGTAATGCAAATATATTAATCTAA